GATGGCGCTGGAATTTAACATTCTGGAGCCCCTAAGGTGCCGGGCACCGAGCCAGGCGAGCGAGTCACGCTCATTCATTGTTCAGCTCGGCAAGGCAGGTTACGCGGTCTTCAGGGAGGTCAAACACCTTGCGTTTGCCGTTCCCTTCGGCCTGGAACGCTCTGGGGAGAACAGGTTCCTTTTCGGGTTCAGGAATCTGCTTAAAAGCCACCTCCCCAGAGAGGCCCTCAGGGTGCTTCGCAGCTCCCTATCGCACACATCATCGCCTTTGAAAGCTCTGCTTAGCAATTGCCTCGGTGCTCACCAGCATTTCCTCGTGGTTTACATTTGTATATTTTCTTTGTTTATGCTCTGTCTCTCCCCACAGAAATATAAGCTCCACAAGAGCAGGAACCTGGTGTACCATCGCCGCTGCACGCCCACAACTGGGTCGGACGCACGCAGTAGGCGCTCAGTGATGTTAATCACCCTACACGTCTGCAGGCTGCAAACTGACCCCAGGTGATCAGTTGCCTGCATTCAAGCCAGGATCGAAGGAGCTCGAGGAGCGAGGTGGGCTTCACTGTTTTTCAAGGAGCTCCTGCATTTTAATTTTAACTACGACGCTTTCTCTCTGTCCTCCCACCCCCTGCACATGTACTGCAAAGAACAAAACAACCGCACTCCTGGGTTTTCCCCTGGGACCCGGCACGAATCTGCATCGCTGCCTCGGGATGTCAGGTCAGAGTCCAGGGCGGGGTCCCATGCCGAATCCGTCCATCGCCCTGTGCCTGCAACCCTCCCTTCACCACCCCCTCTTCTCCGTTCTCGATCCCTTGGCCTCGATTTGACTTCCTCAAGAGGTCGCGTCCTCTTTGCCTGTTCGACCACAAGTGTCCTCAGGGAGCTTCTCCTTGAACCAGCCACTCCCGCGCCGCCTTCCTTCTCCCTCCTTCCCAGGCGGGAAACGCCGCTCCACAAATATTGATGGAGCACCCACGGCGCAAGGCAGCGCGCTGGGCCGCTGGAAGCCCCTTCCCGGGCCCCACGCAGCTCTCACCTCCCTCTGCCCTTCGCACCTGTCGGGAACCCGTGGTCCCAACTCCCTCCACTGCGTCATGGAATCCGTCCGCTTCTTCCTAGCGCATCGCCCCACCTCCTTCCCCGGGGCCGACTCCTGATTGGTGGGAGTGTGGGTCACTCTGCAGTTCCTCCCGTCTTCCCCGCCCTCCGCTCGTGGCCCCGCCCCATGGCGGGCTCAGGCCCCGCCTCCTCGCTCACCCCCTCCTGCTGATCCGCAGGCGACGAGCGCGAAGTTCTGGGCAAAGTCCTGGGAACTGGCGGAGCGGTCGTGCGTCCGCGAGCTGGGCCCGGCCAAGGGGCGCGAGCGCAGGACAGTTAGTGTGCGGCGCGGGCCCCGGCCTCTGCGTCCGCCAGCGAGTGGCCGTCCCCGCCCCAGTCTCCCGCAGCCGCTGCGGGAACGGTCAGCTGCGCATTGCGGGTGGGACCAGAGAAGTGTGTTCGCCTCCTCCTGGGTCTGTGGATGGGAACAAGGTGGCGTCCCCGGCGGCAGAGCGCGCAGGTAAGCGCCGACGCCGGTGGGAACGGTGCTGGGCGTGGTGGGGACCCGGCGGCCGCGCGGGCTCGGCGGGGCGGCGATTTCGGAGCGGAGGGTGGGGGTGACCGCCAGTCTCTGCAAACCGGGGTCAGCCTCCCGTCGCCGAGGGAGAACCGGCCGGTGGGGCCGCCCCGAGCCGGGAAGGTCGTCTCGGTGCCGGCGCCAGTCTCTCTGGATGTGAGGTTTGAGTGCGCCCATCCTAGAGCTCGGTCCTTGGAGGGAGGGACGGTTTGGCTGGGATTGATGGCGAGAAGGCGCCGACCTCGCGGGCCTGGGTCGCGGGGCCGCAGGATGCGACGCACCAGAGCTGTCCTGGGCTGCGGGGAGGCGCGCCGCCGGGGCGGGAGGCACAGGAAACCTGGTTAATGGAGCTGAGCACGAAGCTTTACCACATCCGCGCGTTGGGGCGCGGCGGGGGAGCCCGGGCGACGCTGGCCTTGCAGGCGCCCGTCTCGCCAGCCTCACTCCCCGGCCTGCTCCGCTCCACGGTGCGGCGGCCGAGGGCACTCGCCTCTTGGGGCTCCCCAGCGTCCTGAGCTTGGTCGTAGGTCGTACTGATATTTCTTCAGCCCGGGCGCGCCGCCCTTCTTCGGTAAGGAAACTTGCCAGCCACCTTTTGCACACTTGTATGTTTCCTCCCCAGTCTCACAAACTACCAGTCTCCTGAGTCCGGACTCTGATCGGAGGGGACTGTGAAGTTGTCTCTGGAAGTGTTTGGGGTTGAGGTACACGAGGTTCCCCAGATGTTGCACTGCCCCTCAGGGTTTGAGTACTGGGATGGGGGCATTTAGAAATATTTTTAAGCTGCAGATGCAAAAGAGGTCCTTCCACAGGCAGGTAAAAGAGTAGGTCTGAGTTCTGGTCATGCACATTCTACTCCCAAGCATCCTACAGGGTGAGGTCCCCCTTCTGGCCAAAGGAGACCAGCCAGGCAGGCCTGAGCTGAAGCCCTCTACCAACTTGCCAGGACGCCTCCCTATTCCATGTTCCTCCTTCCGCTCCTCTGTGAAACTTACCTCCTTGGGCTGTTTACTACCATCTGCTTTCCTCCACTAGAATGGAAAGGTAGCCATCTTATCCATCTTGTTCATCACTCTATCATCAGTGTCAACCACCATGCCTGACACACACAGTAGGTATGGAAGAAATAGTTACTAAATGAGTGATGAAAACTTGTCTTTGAAATATGAAGAATGGTGATTTCATTGCTGGTTTTGATTTTCATGTTTATTTTTTTCCTATTGGGAAAATTAGATACCAATAACTACTATTGATTGAGCACCTAGTAGGAACTGGGGACTTTGTGTAGATTACCTCATTAAACATTATAGTAGCCCTGACCAGTTTGGCTCGGTGGATAGAGCATCAGCCTTCGGACTGAAGGGTCCCAGGTTCGATTCCAGTCAAGGGCATGTTTCTTGATTGCGGGCACATCCCCAGTAGGGGGTGTGCAGGAGGCAGCTGATTGATGTTTCTCTCTCATGGATGTTTCTAGCTCTTTATCCCTCTCCCTTCCTCTCTGTAAAAAAAAGTCAATAAAATATATTAAAAAAAAAACACGACATTATAGTAGTCTTGTTAGCCAGCTAGGTATTTCTAACCAGGTGGGAAATTAAGGCTCCAGCAGGTTAACCAGTTTTCCCAAGGTTATCCTGGCAGAACTAGAATTCCAGCTCATTTTCTCTCTCTTGTTCTGGGCCTCTTCCAAGAAACTGAAATGTGTTTTCTACCATTACTGTCAACAGGCATTTAGCTTTATTTGTACCAAAAGCTATTGCTTAGCCAAAAGAAGATTTGTTGTTTTCTCATTCAGATATCGTCTCAATAATAGTTAATAGTTATCTCAGAGGCCAGATACTACTAGGCTGCCATAAGCCCATAATATCTCTTTTAATCTTACAGATGAAGAAACTGCAGCCAAGCTTCAGGAACTTGTAGCATCCATTGAACTAGAGTCTGCTAATAGTCCTTCTAACTCTAAATCTTTAGCTCCTTCACTACACAGAAATGTGTCCTGCTCCCACTGCTTAATTAGAAGTTACTTCATTATGGTAGAGTTCGGTGATACAATGTATTAAAACGAACTGAGGTTGGGCTACAGACTTTCTGCTGCCAATATCAAGTTTCTAATTGCACTACTTTCTGAATTATTGAGGCTCTTACTGCCATTGATTTTTGTGGCTGAGTTTATGGTTTGTGGGCCTGGAAGTGGAGGGACTTTAATATAGGAGGAAAGGAAATTCTTTAACCTAAATTTACTTTTACTTTCACCGACATCTAAAGAGAAATCCTATAGATTTTGCCTGCTGTGCACCCGCAGCCTGAAATTAATTCAGCAACCGAGTTGCCTTTGCTCGGACATTCCTGTTGCCTAGAAAGCTGGTTCATTGGGTCTTCCTGTGGAAACCCACATCTTTCAAGACTGAACTCATAAACTACTTCCGCGAGAATAATCTCTCTGAACTCAATCTCTCACAGCATTAAAAACACCACCACAAAAAAACCCTGAGAGGCTCCAGTTCACTTTCTGACTACTGAGTATGTCGGGATTCTTTCTTACCATCAGCACTTCGGTCCTTTCATATTCCCCCCATTTCCTCACCTGAGTGCCTCCTGACTTATTTATTCAAATGTACTGCCTTCCTTTCTAGGTTGTAAATACTTTGAAGGCAGGGCCGATATGCATTTTCTGTTTCTATCCCTCACATCACTAAGCCTGGTATCCTATCCATAGTAGGTGCTCAGTTAAAAAAGAGAATCTGAAACAACTTTATTTGGTTATATTCTTTTTAAAATATATATATTTTTATTGATTTCAGAGAGAAAGGGAGAGGTAGCGAGAGATAGAAACATCAATAATAAGAGAGAATCATTTATCGGCTCTCTCTTGTTCTGGGCCTCTTCCAAGAAACTGAAATGTGTTTTCTACCATTACGGTCAGAATAATCCTACACGCCACACACTGGGGATTGAGCCCACAACCCAGGCATATGGCCTGACAGGAATTTATTATAGGAGGAAAGGAAATTCTTTAATCTAAATTTAAGTTTACTTTCACCTAAATCTAAAGAGAATTCCTATAGGTTTTGCCTGCTATGCATAGGCAGCCCGAACTTGATTCAGCAACAGAGTTGCCTTTGCTCACTTTCCTGTTGTCTAGAAAGCTCCTTCATCGTGACTATGCTCAACTCTCTCTCTCTCTCTATCTAATTGATTTTAGATAGGAAGGGAGAGGGGGAGAGAGATAGGAAAATCAGTGATGAGATTCTAACCAATAACCTGGGCATGTGCCCTGATTGGGACTTGAACATGACCTCCTGGTTCATGGGTTGATGCTCAATCACTGAGCCACATCAGCTGGGCTACTTCTTTTTGAATTACAGTTTTATTAAGATATAATTCATATTTTGTATAATTTACCCATTTAATGTAATTATGCAATTCAATGGTTTTTAGTATATTCAAAGTTGTGCAACCATCACTATAATTAATTTTAGAATATTTCATCATCCCCAAAAGAAATCTGCACCCATTAGCAGTCTCCCCCGCCCCCGCAACTATTAATCTATTTCATATATTAATGGATTTGTCTATTCTGTACATTTCATGTAAATGGAATAATGCAATTATCTTTCACTTAGCATGTTGTATTCAAGATTCTTACCTGTTGTAGCATGAATCATTACTTCATTCCTTTATATAACACCCCATTGTATTTATACCATGACTTATTTATCTGTGGCTAATTTATGGAACTATTTTTTTAAAAACTGGTATGTTTTAAGCTTCTCTAAATAGTCTTAATGTGCAGTCAGGAACTAAACATGAAAATTTTTTTGAGTCTTGTTCTTTGTTGTGTCTTGGGGCTAGAACAGTGCCTGGCACAAGATAGATGTTTAATAAATATCAGAATTAATAAAGCACTTTACTAAAAGTATAACTCCCATTATGTTGGTGTCATAAAAAATCATTAAAAAGAAATATTCATAGTTGATTGTTTAGATTTTGAACAAATCAACTGTTAACAAAATTATGAGATAATCAAGGAAATTTTAACATGGATAAAATGCTATGATTTCTAGGATTTGCTTCAAAATAATTTTGGGGTTAGAAAGAGTATAGAAGAAACACGGCTGTTGGGAAATTAGTGATTATTAAAGCAAGGTGATGAGTTCATGGGGTTTTTAATACTATTTTCTATAGTATCTGCTGTCTACTGGGGTGCCATTGGCCACATGTGGCTATTGAGCATTCAAAATGTGGCTAATCTTTTTTGAGATGTACTATATGTGTAAAATACTAAGTTTCGAAGAGTTTGTACAAAAAAGAATAAAATTATCTCAATAATTTATCATTTATATGTTGCAATGATAATATTTTGGATACATCATAATATATAGTTAAAAATAATTTTGCCTGTTTCCTTTTACTCTTTTTAATTGGCTACTTAAATAAAATTACACATTTGGCTCTTATTACGTTTCTGCTGGATAGTGCTGCTGAAAGTATAACTTTTGTATGCTGGGAAATTTTTTGTAATAAGTTAAAAATATCAAAGACATCTGAATTTTCAAAAGCTGGAATAAAATATTTTCTGTAAAGGATTCCTCTTATATGTAAAGACTGGGAAATATGGATGTCTTAAAGATGATCCTTTGTAGAAGCTGTAGCAGGCAGGCTGTAGTCCAGTGTCATCCTGGGCTTACGTCATCCATGTGAGCATTAAAAAATTCTTCTATAATCAGTGGAACCGCAGCATGAGGAAGTAGAAGAATTTCTCCTTTAGCCAGTCATCTGATTCTTTTGTCTTGTATTTGGTGAAACATTTTCTTCTTCATCTTGGAAAAATTTAGAAAATGCAACGGTAATTTAATTGTTCTTAATCACATTGTTTATACCCTAAAATTGAATTTTCCTTGTACTGGCTTTATAATCACTCTGAGTAAATCTGTTTGTTTGGGAGCCAGACAGTGATTGTTTCTAGACTCCCCATGACTCTTGGGGTATGAGTGGGATATATTTCTTAAATAATAATAACAATAATATGTGGATGTTAAGCTGAGAAACAAATTGATTTCATATCAAATTTCTTTAGATGAACATCATGTCGCTGTCTCGGTTGTCTGCTCACAAAATAATAGCCAAGGTAATATACCCAGTTCTCTGAGAGGTGTGGGCTAGGCAACCCCAGAGGATGTTCTTTCTCATTTGTAATTTCAGGAGAGAGTGGACTTGAATTGAAAAATCGCTTGAATGTAAAGTAGAAAAAAATTAAATTGCAACAAGCAGCCCAACAAGAGATCATCATTCTGTGGGTCAAACACTTTTCTCAATATAACATATGTATTAAAAAGTGGTACTATAATTAAAGATTCTCGTACTTGTTTTCTGTCTTGATATCAAATGTAATATAAGAAATTTAAAGTTACAGTTTGAATCTTATAAAACAAATGAGAGGCCCAGTGCACGAATTCGTGCATGGGTGGGGTCCAGCCAGCCTGGCCCCAATCGGGGAGGATCAGAGCTGGGCCTGTTGGGAGGAGGAGATGGCGGGAGGTTGGCTGGCTGGCCCGCTCCTGTCGGGCGATCAGGGCCTGACTGGCTGAGGGTAGGGGCCATGGGTGATTGGTCAGCAGAGCCTGCCCCCAGTTGGGGTTGGGGGACCGATTGGCGGGCCAGTGGCGTGGGTGAGGGGCCATGGGTGGTTGGCCAGTTGGCCCTGCCCTTGATGGGGGGGGGTGACCGGCGAGGGGCTT